TAAAAATAAGGGGGACGGTGCCTGTGGTGGATTGACTGTAACTGGCCCCTATAAGCTCCTAGGGAGTGTCACTGCTAGAAGGTATGGCCTTGTTGGAGAAAGCATGGTCTTGTTGGAGGAGGCTGAATGATCCTGCCCTTAATCCAGACCTTGACACTGGAAGACACACCTTTAATCTGGGCCACAACTTCTGTTAGAAATGTGTCACTTCGGGGGCCAGCTTTGAGGTCTTTTTCTCAAGCTTTACTCAGTCTGACAGTCAGTCAATTTCCTATTGCCTCTGAGACAAGATGTAAGAACACTCAGCTCCAGCACCACGTCTACCTGCACGCTGCCATGCTCCCCAACATGATGGACTGAACCTGAGAACTGTAAGTGAGCCACCCCAGTTAAATGTTTCCTTTATAAGAGTTGCCATGGTCATGGTGTCTCTTCACAGCAATAGAAACACAAACTAAGACAGTGCCTGACACCCTATGTTGTCTTCTGGCCTCCACACACATGGGTACATACACATCTACAACCACAATAAAAGGAGGCCATCAAGATGGCTCAGCAGGTAAAGGTACTTACCACACTTACCTTATGGCCTACCTTCAATCTCCAGAACCCACACAAAGGCAGAAGGAAAGAACCAATTCCACCGAGTTGTTTTGTCCTCTGACCCCCCACATATGGGCTGTACCACACGATACCACATATATGCTACAAGTGAAGTTTTTTAAGTCACAGAGAACATTGTCTACTATGTGACTGCAGAGCTGAGACCTTGTTGGAACTCAGGCTATGTACAGTATCCTGGGTCTGGGTCCATGGCAATGGGCACTGGGCAATGACAGGTAGGCCATCTAGGGATCTTTCCTCCTCTACAGTGAATGTCACCAGAGTTTGGAGCTTTTGACAAAGACCTTCCTAACCAGGGGCTTGCAGTGATGCACGAGTCCACACATAACATGCAGGCATGTGACTCCTGTGTTGTTTCCCTGATGTTACAGTGGAACCTGGATGTGACTTCTGCCTCACAAATGGTGAAAAAGTCTTGGACATGGAGGAGGCTATAAATGGAAGATGCCTGGGCACTGCTTGGCCAGGTGGATCACCTCTCTGCTGCCACCTGTCAACCCTACTCCAGAGAGCAGACTCCCAGTCACCCTGTTACAAAAGTCCTGAAGAACAAAATGCTTTGAAATCAGATTATATGAACCCAGTTTTAAGCAAGCACCCTACCTCCTCTCTTCATCTGTTCAACTATCCGAAAGGATATCAGTCCTTCTATGTTGTTTTACTGGGACAATCCAAAGAAAGAACACAGGCCAGAGGCCAGCATGTGCTTAGTGAATAGGAGGTCTTCAGTAAAGGTCAGATCCCTTCCCCTCCCAACTCCCAGCAGCCTTTGTTGCTGAGCTGCTGGCAGGCTCCCTTCAGACTCCACCAGGCCATAGTGCAGGCTGAATGAAGATTTTCTCCTGAGTGACAGGTTCAAGGAGGCATAAAAGACAAGTACTGGCTGTTCAGAGTGCAGCCTTCTCTGGAACCTGATTCTCAGGGCTCATTTTAGGGGCCAGGCCAGTCTCAGTCTCTCCAGGAGGGGCAGCCTCCTAACAGCCCATTCTACCCTTTCCAAGGTTGAAAATGTCTTCCTTGCATTCTAGTGCCAGAACTGTGGGACCAGGAAGAAGCAGAGAGGAGAGGGAGAAGGGAAGCAGGCATGGAGCTAGCAATTTTAGGTTATGCAATGGGAATACTTGCAGAATCAGGGCTGGGAGGGCTGTTCTGTGCACATCTGGCCCAGCTGATCCCTGCCCACCACCTGCTTGTAGATGGTGTTTGTGGAGATGGGATTAACCCAAAGTCCAATGTGAAGGATATGCAATTGTGGCAATGTGCTGGGCTCTAACAGATCACTGGGCAAGACACTCAAGATGCAGCACCTCTTATTTAGCTCTCCATATTGGATATCAAGGCAGTGATTATAGCACCAGAGAGTAGTCACTTCATGTCTCCTTCTACAAAAGACATGAGGGAGAAAGTGCCCAACGGGCTTGTCCCACACTCAGACCCGTGCAAAGTGTGGCCAAGGGCTAGAGGAGCTAGATGAACAGATAGGCAAGGCATTCTCCCCACACCCCAACACAGCCTAGCCTACTTTGCTTGCAAGTGTCCCTGGAGGGATTATGGCTCCTCACTGGGTTCCAGGCCTTGTGGGCAGGGTCCGTGTCCTAGTCTCTGATCTCCATCTGCAAGCCTCGGCACCCTGCTATGCTCACAGCCACCTGCCAGGCTGACAATCCTGTTCTCACCATGAAGGGGTCAGGCACCCATGGTCCAGATCCTTCATTCACATGCCTATTGGGCAAGCACCTGAGTTCTCGTTACAGGACATATGGGCCACAAGGTGCCCCATGGAAATGGCTAAACCTGTGCTTGAGGTAGGTTAGCATCAGCTACCTCCCTGCCTAGGGAGGAGCACTCAGCCACATGAAACATCACTCATGGGGTCATTCAGGGTCAGGCATCTGTGCCTCCAGGTGCTGTCCCCAAACATATCCCACCGCTTCTTGCTTCACAAAGACACTGTTCTTGCCATTCATAAGTCACATATCTAACCAATTCTGTTTTGCAGTAAACACCTGCCCCCCTGCCAGCCCCAGCCCTGAGAGTATCCTCCTGTGCTGGACCTGCCCCAAGCTGGCCTTCTGGGTGACACTGCCCACCATCCCTATGGAATGTCTCCTTTGTTTTGGAAGGTGTTGAACAGCATGTCTGCCCCCTCCCTGCAGAGACCTGGAGCAATCTCATCATTTTCATTAGAGACAGCAGACTTATGTTTCCAGGCTGGTCACTCTAGCAATCCTCCTGCCATAGCCTCTCAAGTAGCCAGGACAACAGGCATATGCCACAATGCCTGGTCCTGCATCCAGTCTTCATAACCAACCATCTTTGCAGACACTAGTCACTAACCCCTGCTATTGGCCACTCAGAGCACACACCATATCAGGTCCAGGCCCAATCTCTTTAGTTGGGTTTCATCCTCCCAAATTTGAACTTGAAGACTTGTGTGATATACAGGGAGCCCTCGGCCCAGGGGGATGCCCCTCCCATAGAAACACAGAAAACAAACATCAAGGGCACAGCTGCTAACAAACCAACTTTAATTGATAGTGTACACAGAAATCCAGGCAGTGGCCCTTGACCAGATGGGACCAGGCCATAGACCTGGCCTAGACAAGTACCTGGTATACTCTCAGGGTTGGGGCTGGCAGGGCAGGTATTCACTGCAGAACAGAAGCAGGTGCTGAGGCAGTTGCAAATTGTGTGAGGACACAATCAGGGCCAGGCCTGGGCGTGCTGTGCAGAGCTGGGACTGAGGAGCATTACGGATGACAATGTACACAGCATCCGTGGGTACCCTGGGAGAGGGGTGTGGTGTGCAATGTGGTCCAAATCCCTGCCACTGGGAGCTCTAGGAAGAGAGGGTACCACATAATGTGTGTGTGTGTGGAAGCTGGCAGTATGTGACCTGGGGCCAGTCACTCCCACTTTCTGGATCCTGCGGGAATGAACTAGTACATTCCTATGGTTTCCGGTATCCATCGGCATCATTACTTTGTGAGTATGCAGGATCCATGATGCATCTGTGGAAGTCAAAGGATGACTTACAGAAGTTAGTTCTCTCCCTGCACTGTGTGGATCCCAGTGGCAGCAGGTGCCTTTACCCACTGAGCCACCTCAACAGGCCAGCTTCCGTACTTTTAAGGGGAAGAAAGCACACGTGCACTGGGAGTCGAACAGGGCCTTTGGTTTTCAGGATTACAATCATCCCTCACCCCACTCCTGCACTGGGAAGAGAAGTACCTAGCACAGCCTGAGCACTAAGGGAAGAGCCACTATGACTCATCCTACCAACCTATCCAGGGCTCAGCTCAGGCTCTCAGATGCTCCACTTCCTCCAGCAGCTGTGTATGCAGAAGGGGCTCACAGGTGGACAGAGGCCAGAGCGGGGGACCCCTCACTCCCTGTTGCCTAGCACACAGAGCCCAGTATCTAGTGGGTGCTCAACATGTGCTTGAGGAACCACAGCAGAAGAAAGCTGCATCCAGACAGAGCTCTGTCCTCATCTCACTAGGAGTGTGGAGGGGTTTAGAGTTACCCTCCTGATGGCAGGAGAGAGACACCCTGGCCTTCTGTGACCATAGTGCTGTGCGCTCATTTGTAAGCTGATGAACACAGGGCAGGATCCAGCTGCACAGCCTGCCTGGGAGCAGGGAAGAAGGGACCCAACTAAAGCAAGGATCTGAACTGGGGAGCCTGGCCAAAGACAGGTCATTAGGCTCTTACCATACAAGGACTTCATGTCTACTGCAGACAGAATGGGAAACAACTTCAAAACAAAGAGCAATGTCATATGGAGGAGCCTGGGAGAGGAGCCAGAAGGCAGTGCTCTGAGAGACATAGAGACGTCATCACACACAGACACACACAGCTTGCTCTTGTGTGCCCTCTCCCCCCCCTCTCTCTCTCCATATATATATATATGATATTATATCTCCACTCAATGTCAGGGTGGCCCCTGGCTAAGTTGGAGGGGTGGGTGTACAGAGCTGGGCCAGAGGGCAGGAGCTAAGACCCTGGAGGGGGTTTCTCTAGAAGCACAGAGGAAACAGAGGCCACCAGGGAATCTGGCTGGGACATCTGGCTGGGATGTTCTCATCCTGCGACTTGTACTGAGCATCTTGTTTTGACACAGGACTCCTGGTCTTTCTGCATTCCTCCCACTCTGAAAGGACACTGAAAGCTTGTCTCAGCTTGAGTGCTGACATGTCTGCAAATGTGTATCTGTCCTACCACAAAGGAGCCACAGACATAAGAATTCACAAGAGGTGGCTAGTAGTCAGGAGAACGGGCACAGTGTACATGCCTAGGGCCCCCGTGGGATATGGGCAGTGGGAACCCTTAGCCTTAAGGCACTGCCCAAGCCCCCTCCCTGATGTCCCTGCCTCTTACTGGATGCTACATTTGTCCCTCTCTCGTGCCTGGCCCTCCCGTAGGACCTTGGCCTTGATGTATTTGAGGTCACTGTTGACACTGGGGCGGCGGGCAAAGGGTGAGACCATGCCATAGGCACCTGCGACCTTGGTGCGGCGCATGCAGAAGGGCCGGGGATGGAAGGCGTCGCCATACTGCACGGAGATCTTATGGTGCAGTGCAGGGCTCATCTCGTGGGGCAGCTTGGCCATGCTGAACAGCACATAGAACATCTCATTCACATTCGTGTTCTTCTTAGCCGACACCTCGAAGTAGGCGCAGTTTTCATCCCCAGACACCAGCAGCTCGGCCTCCATGGCAGTGACCTGGCGGCACAGCTCGCTGTGGTCATTCTTGTTCCCACAGATCACCATGGGCAGCTCCGCCACCTCCTTGGTCTTATTCTTCAAGCAGGACTTGACCTCCAGGATCTGTTTCTGGAGGCGCTTGACCTCATCGAAGGACTCCCGGCTATCCAGGCTAAACACCAGTATGAAGACATCTCCTGTGGAAGGAATAAGGCAAGTGATCGAGTGATAGGCTGGCCTGGTGCCCCACTCAGCTGCCACTTAGGAGCCCTGCAAACTCTGACCTAGAGGCTCTTCGGGGCATCTGCTATCACTGTCCCCACTTGCCAGAGAAAGGAGCCAAGACTCAGAGGGGCTTGTAGGTAAAGTGCGGCACACCTAGCTGGACTCGGATATGGGCAGTCCTCCTGTTTCCTTACAGGACTGTGGAGAGCCCAGTCTCCCCGGTGGGGTTACACAGTCACTCTTGGAGAACTCCTGTGGACGTGGAGGTCTGACTGGCCTTATTCAGCCACACCCAGAGCTGGCACCAGTATCTTGCCCACAATAGGAATCTGGCAAGCACTGGTGTCTCTGTTGGCAGGGGATGTTGATGAGAGGGGGCCTGGGTTTGCATCTTACCTCAATTTAGCAACTGTATGACCTTGAAGAGTCCATGTAATCTCTGAGCCCCTCAATTTCCCCTCCCACATCATGTGAATGAAGCTGCCTTGCAGGAGGGTGATTGGAGCTAATGCATGCAGGGTGGCACACTTTGCCATGTCAGGCATCAATAATGCTCACAAGAAGAGGCACCTCCCGGAGCTGAGCATTGTGCACACCTGCTGTTTCCTTGGCACCTCATAGTACCTCCATGTGGAAGATTTTATTACTCTTCTGTTACGGGTGAACCACCTAAGGCTCAGAAAAGGCAAACAACCTGCCCAAGGTCACACAATTCAAATGTGACTAGGCCAAATCTATGACCTGATTTGGTCCTCACCTGGCCTATGCCAGGCACTCAGGATGTGCTCTCTGATTCTAAGATGAACCATGAAGTAAGTAAGAGATGGTGGCCCACACTAATGGGGCCTTGAATCTGACAAAATGATTAGAGCATACCCTGGAAAGGTCACAGGTGTGAAACAGCCTCCAGCTGCAGTTCCAAAGTCATCACCCTTCAAGACCCTTCCCATCTGTACCTTTCCCTTGAGTGTGGATCTGAGGGCCATGATTTGCAGACAGTGGGCTAGCCACTGGGTCCAGCAGAGCAGTACAGCTTGTGACTATTGCCTCCTCTTTGGCCTCTAAAGCACATTTGGTCCCCTACAGTGACACATACCCAGCATGAGCTATGGATAGGGCACAGAAGCACAGCACCCCATTCTAGCCCATCCACCTGCCCCAGAGACGCCAGGAAAGGCTGGGATGATAAACAGGGCCTCAACTGCCAACTGCTCTTGCTCTGCTGCCAAGCCTCATTCTGTCCCGTTAGACTAACTCTTGCCCCTGAGGACTCATAGCCTCAAAGTGCTCAAATCTGAGACTGCAAATGCCAGGCATCAGAGCCCAGCCCAGCTGGCCAGCAGCTGCAGGAAAAGCTGGTGGGAATGAGCAACGCTGAGTATCTCTTGTACCCAGGACCAGGCTGGAAAAGGAGGCCTGGGCTGGACCTGTGAGCAAGCAAAGCAACAGACATCTGAGATGTACTTAGAATGCAACATGCAGGAAACAGTCGGACATGTGTGCTTTCAGGGGATACAGGATGAATGTCAATGCACTGGTGCTGGCAAGGGTTAGGCACACACCTGTAAGTCAGAGGCCTGGGATAGGGATGTGTGCCTAATAAGCACTGTCTGATGGAAAGTTTGTCTTTGTATCTCTTGTACAGTTGAAAATTAACATTGAAGTATGTACATTTCTACAGGTGGGCATCCAGGCCCTCCCAAATAGGAAGAGCTCTCCCACATGACACTCACCTTTTGCAGGGAGCTGTCCTACACCCCCCTGTCCCCATAGCCACATGAGGAACAAGGTCACAAAGACACTGACAATGACACCACTATGCTACATGACAGGCTCAGGATTTGAAGCCAGGTCCGCCTTGGGTTCCTTAAGCAAGACGTTCCCTCTCAGAATCTGGGGTGGAGGGCCCCACAAGTGGTCTGGGACGAAAAATGACCTGGAAGAGGAGCTCCATGTCCAGAAGGGAGCCTGCCACAGGGCTCTAAAATAGCCCGCGAATGGGAAGAAAAGAGGATAGTGTGTGTGGCCCTCAGTGGGAATGTCTTGTTCTATAAATTGTCATTTTGTATTTGTGTCTGTATGTGATGTGTTGACCAGCATTGCATGTTGTTCCTGTGGCACCATCCACTCACTGTGTTTTGTAAACGTCTTTCACTGATCTAGAAGTTGCTGATCAGGGTAGGCTGGCTGGCCAGTAAGCCCCAGGTACCTTGCGGTCTCTGCCTCCCCAGTGCTGAGGTAGCAAGTTCTCATCACCCATATGGTTTGGGTGCTTTGGTGTGAGTAATGGGGATCAAATGCTGGTCCTTGTTCTTAACCAGCAACTTTCCTGAGTTATCACCCCAGTCCTTGAGGGTGGTTTTCATGATGTTCCTTCCTGTCTCTGTCCAGTAGCTGAAGGCATGGCTCTAGCCCACAGTGGTCACACTAGAGACATGGATCAACTCAAGACTGGCTTCAAGGAAGGACCATGATAGTGCCCTATCACCAGAAGGCCTCTGGTGGCCCACAATCCTGTCCTTCTCCAGATGCTGTTCCCAGTAGGGTGGAAGCCACGGGATAGGTCCTTCAACAACATTCATAAGCTGTGCTTCATCTGGATGAAGGCACTTAACCTCTGCCTCAGTTTTCCTCTTGTAAAATGACAGCAAACATTTGTCTCATAGGCTAGCTGTAAAGGTGAAACACATGCCAGTCTCTAAGCAAGAGCCAGGCCCATGGCTGTTACAGTGTCAATCACTAAGGGCCCTAATGTAGAAGTGGTGGGACAGCCATAGGGCAGATAGTGCCATGAGTCACACCACATTGTCTGGCAAGAAGCAACTTCCCTAAAGATAAGTGCAGGCCAGCTGTCCTGTCCCCAGTCATCTCACCTGTGAGGATGGACAGCCTGCGCATGGCAGGGAATGGGTGGTTGCCTGAGGTGTCCAGGATGTCCAGCTGGTACATGTCCCCGTGGATGTTGTACACCTTTCGATGAAAGTCCTCGATGGTGGGCGTGTACTGGTCCTCAAAACGGCCATTGAGGAAACGGGAAACAATAGAGCTCTTGCCCACACGCGAGGCGCCCAACACCACCATTCGGTAGGAGTTCTTGGCGGGCACACTGAGCGTGCAGTTCCCACTGGACAAGGTCTTCATCATAGCTCGGGGCTGCGGCAGAAGGGAGGAGGCAGGGGTCAGGGGGCCTCCTGGCCTCCTCTCTGTGGCCCCTGTCTAGGTCTCTGCTTTCTAGTGTAAAATAGAAGCCATTGGCCATGAGGGACCTCAGGGCTGGAGCCCCTCCCTCATTGTTAATTCATCCACAACCTCTCAACTCTTTATTCCGATTCTCAACTTGCTCACTTACCCATACTCTGTGCTTGAGCACAGAACCAAGCACAGAGTCACAGCCTTGCCTCGCTCCCCGCACCGCTGAAATTCCCAAAGCAGCAACTACCACTAGGGGGCAGGCTTCTCTTACAGGGCCCACTCATTACTCCACAACTGCCTGGATCCAAGGTCTGGTATATGGCTCAGTTGCCAGTCTACATTTCTTGAACAAAGGCTCTGCAGCTCTAATAGGAAGGAGGGGAGTTTGGTAGTCCAGGCCACTTCTCTGCCAACCCCCGGGTCACCTCCCTGGATACACCCTGGACCCAAGATTTGCATCAAGGTGGGGTCCTTCTCACATATGGCTCACTGCTGGCTTGAGTAACTTTTGCCTCCAAGCAACCTGAGTTTGAGTGAAGGGGGAAAGGAATGCAAGCCTCAGGACTCCAAGGACTGAGGTTCTGGAGGGAAACCCTAACTTTCTATGGGAGCTTCTTAGCCTCATGGAAAAGGCTTTAAAAAAAAAAAAAAAAAAAAAAAGACTCAGGCTCTTGATCCCAGTGGACCTATGCAGACTTCTGTGGTTACCAAGGGGCTGTTCTCAGCCCCCTTCCTCTGTTGTCTCAAACCCTAGGCTCCATCAGGCCCATGGCATCTCCTCTAGTTGCAGGATTCATCCCAAATGCCACCTCTCTGCAGGCTGTTGACCCTTTCCCTCTCAGCAAGGACCACCTCCACACACACAAAGGACAGCTTGCTAACCCCAGAACTGCACAGACACAGGCCTGCAGAAACACTGTGCTCCTGGCTGACCACCACGAGTTGTGTAGCTGAGCACTACACAAAACACACCCTGAGTAGGCTAGTCGGGGCTGCAGCCCCACACAGGGGTGTCTTCTAGAAATGCATCTGTTTGGAGACAGCTCTGCTGCACACACTCTGTACACACACTCAGAGCCACAGCCTCATTTTTCATCATAATGATCAGACTACCATGGGGCCAGGGTCTGCAATGGCCACCAGGGCTGAGTGACATCCTCCTCAGTGTAAGACTCCAGGCATACACCCACTCTGCTCATGCCTGCCTGCCTGAGGTCCTCTGCCTTTCCTAAAAGCCCTGATTGGAGGTGGATCTCCGTGTGTTCCAGGCCAGCCTGGGCTGATCTACAGAGCTAGTTCTAAGACAACTAGGGCTACACAAAGAAACCCTCTCTCCTAAAACAAAACAAAACACAAAAGGCTTGCTTGGTATACTTTGTCAATTTCCATGGTGTAAATGCTCTCAGCTCCCAGCTCCCAGCCTGCAACATGACCTCCAAGAATGAATGCCAAAGACATACACAATGGGCCAGCTCAGCACACTGTGGGCCCAGGCCTAGCACTGGAACCATCACTCCTGGGCTAAACCCAGGCATGTGCCAAGCATAGGCTAAGTATAGAATAATAACACTGCTGACATTTGTTTTGCAGCTAATATATGTCACAGTGCTGTGAGTGCCAGGCATACGCCTGCTCCATCCCTCAATGACACAGAAGGTAGATGATAAGGACACTTAGGCACAGAGAGGCCGAGGTCCTGGGAAGGAGGGCCTTCCCCGAGCTGTCTGTCCTGCACTTTAGGAGGCACCTCCCATCATACACATGCATCCCTGCCCAGTGGCATCTGCCCACTGGTGAAGCTCTGATCCTAAGGCCCTTATGTTCCCTGCTGAATGTGTACCTAAAGCAGGCTGTGAGTCTATGCTTTGGAGTTGCAGCTCTATGTACACAGAAGGTGCTCAATAAATGATCCCTGAATGGGAGAAATTGCAGATGGCTCTACTGTTTGGCTCACCCAACCCTCCCACTCCTGTCCCCCAGTCCCACCCTGGGGTTTGAGATTTGTCCTTTCCCACTGTGGGGTCAACCATGCTGGAAACAGCAAGACCAGCAGGCAGCAAGGGAGACTCTGTCCACAGGGCCTCAGGGCTTCCCTTGGTGCCTCCTGTGGGGTGGAGTCAGAGGCCCTGTCACCTGGCATCCAGGTATCTGGGTGCCTCACACAGCCCCACGTGGCTGAGGCCATGTGAAAAGCCTAGGTCTGTCACAGATAGCCTTGGGTCCTCCTGTCTCCACCCCTTTCTGATCCTGTCTCTAATTTCTAATTCCCTGCCCTGCCCTCTCCCTGATGCTTCCTCTTTCAGACTCCCTCCTGGCTTTCACTTCCTTCATGCCTCCTCTTTCACTCTTTCCTTTCTGATTGCCTGTCGCCCTCTCTGACTCCCTCCTCTCAGTCCTTGTGAATTGGGAGGTCTGGACTAGATGATGGAGCAAGGAGTCAATGGGGGCAGACTGCATACCTGGTGACTGCTGGCTCACTCCTTGCCCTCCATCTGGCGGAGGGGAAGGTTCCATCAGCAGCCCTCCTCCCTGCAGAAGGACTGGGTGGGTGCCTCTGGGAAACAAAGCTACACTTGGGGACCTTCAGCAGGACTGCAGGGTGGGATCCTTCTCAGAACAGCCAGGGCCAGGCAGGTAGACTGGGTGAAGAGAAATGGTCTCATAGCCAGAGTAGGGCTGAGGGACAGGGGTGGGAGGGTTGGGTGAGCCAAACAGTAGAGCCATCTGCAATTTCTCCCATTCAGGGATCATTTATTGAGCACCTTCTGTGTACATAGAGCTGCAACTCCAAAGCATAGACTCACAGCCTGCTTTAGGTACACATTCAGCAGGGAACATTAGGACCTTAGGATCAGAGTTTCACCGGTAGGCAGATGCCACTGGGCAAGGATGCATGTGTATGATGGTGCCCCCTAAAGTGCAGGACAGACAGCGAGGGGCAGGCCCTCCTTCCCAGCATCCAACCCTGATGGCTTGGAGAGGTGGGAAACTGAATGTAAGAATAGGGACCCAAGCCAGGCCGTGGTGGCGCACGCTTTTAATCCCAGCACTCGGGAGGCAGAGGCAGATACAGGATTTCTGTGAGTTTGAGGCCAGCCTGGCCTACTGAGTGAGTTCCAGAATAGGCTCCAAAACTACAGAGAAATCCTGTCTTCAAAAACAAAACAAAGAATAGAGACCCGAATGTAAGCAGGGTGCTGGGAGTGGGGCTGTCCCCAAAGACAGTACCCACCCCCCACCAGCATGCATGGCAACCTGCCATGCAGGGGCTCTTTATTCCTATGAGGAGCTTTCCAGGGGACAGGTGGGACTCTGGTTCTCAGAAAGGTTGAGTCCACACAACAGATACCTGGCTGGAATTATAGGCAGGCTCCTCAGCTGTAAAACCTGACCTCTCACCTCTACAAAAAGCCACCCCCACTCCTCTAGTGCCCTAAACTGCAGTCTTCTCCAAACAGCTCTGACTCAGTGAAGCCCCAAGTGGCATTGGGCAGGAATGACCCTGTGCCTACTGTTATAGTCCCCTTTTCCTGATCCCTCCAGGCAGAAGGGATGGGCACCCTGCCCAGGACTCTCTGCATACCCTGCCAGCCAGCTCACAGGCGGTGCAACTGTGGGCCATTCACTTTCTTCCCCAGTGTCGACCCCAATGCTTGGTGGAAGCTGGGCAGCTCAGGTGGGTAAGTTCAACTGGATAAGAGTCTCAGTGAGTTCCCTGGGCATACCCTAGAGCCAGCTTCACCACACCGGCCCACTGCACATGCCCCCAGAGCCAGGTTGGCCACATCACCCGGCTGTACAACCGCAGCCTCTTAGGGCTCACACTGCAGTCCTGACTCTTGCCCCACACTCCGGGGAGTCTCAGGGACTTTACAATGCCACCCTTCCCATCCTGGGGAGCTCAGGAAGACAGAGAACAGGGGGATCTGCTCCTGGCTCACCAGTTCTGCTGTGTGCCAGCCCAGCAACTTTGAGTGAACTAATCTGCTCACTCATCTCATGCCCCTGCTAGACATCAGGTAAAACAAACCCAGCATGGTCAGGTACCCAGAAGCCTTACAATCAACACAGGGCTCTTTCCATTGCAGCAATCTCTCTGAACAGCTGTGGCCACCTGGCTGCTCCCAGCCCAGTGGATGGCTTGTGAGGACCTGGCCCATCTTGTCCCTCTGAGGCTTAGGGGAAACCTGTATTAGAGGATACAAAGCAGGCCGTGGCTTCAGACCCTTCCAGGTCCCTTCCTCATTCTCCCCAGAGTAGTGACAGGGGTGAGTAGGAAACTGAGGCCTGTCAGAGATCCCACACGCTGGCCAGCTGAGTACAGGAAGACCTTATGGCAGGGAATCTTGTTCAGGAGCTCAAGAGACTCAAGGCAGATAAAAGATCCCTGATCTGTCTTCTTCCGAGGAGGTCCTGCAGAAGAGGTTAAGTCTAGGGAAGGTAACTGCCTCTTTGGGCCTCAGTTGCTTCCTTTTAAAATGGACTGGCTCTTGATATAAACGAAAGCTCCCAGAGACAAATGGAGCACACAAGAGCTCAATAAACACTCTTCCCTGGGCTATGTAAGAGGCTAGAAACCACCTGATGTAGGCTAGGTGCTTCGTGAGCATAATTCTCTAGGCGGGTAAAGTATCCGGTCACATAGTAGGTTCAGTTTAAGTTTCCCTCGGCATGAAAAGCCAACGTCACTCAGCTTGCGTTCGTCTGCCCAGCCAGCTGCCCCACTCCACCTAGCTACCTCCCCCGTTCCATTGGGGTGCCTCCCTTACCTGGGAACAGTGGGCTGGGCCCCGAGCACGGCTTGGAGGGCTGCTTGAAAGGGGGGGGGGGGGCCCCCCCTGCCGCTCCGGCCCTCGAGTCTCCCGGCGTCCGAGGGGGCTCCAGGGTCACTGAGTACGGATCCTCCTGCGCACGGCGCTCCGAGGTGGGCTGAGCACAGCCGGGCGAGGAGGCGCGCG